ATTACTAACATTTACACATATATATGTATACATATATTTTATTACTACTATTTACACATATATATGTATACATATATTTTATTACTAACTATTTACACACATATATGTATACATATATTTTATTACTAACTATTTACACATATATATGTATACATATATAACTAGATGCTAACTAGTTATATCCTACGTTTTGTGTGCTAACTCGCTACCGCCTTTAGGTAATTCCTGAGAAGGACTTTTTGGTGTTGATAGTGGCCAGGATTCAATCCTGGGTCTTCTTGATTGAAGTCTGGTGCGTTGTCCACTCGACTTGAACCTCTCTCATTAAAAATTCAAATTATATTATAATAAAGATCGAATCGCATGTGATTATTTAACATTTTTACTTCTTTTTCTGCCCCCAGTGGCACAGCGGTATTGTCTGCGGACTTACAACGCTAGAAACCGGGTTTTGTTGCCCGTGGTGGGCAGAGCACAGATAGCCCATAGTGTAGTTTTGTGCATAACTTCAAACAAACAAAAACTTCTATTTCTATTTTTACTGAACATAAGATTGATTTCCTTGCTTATCGGATACTGATAAGTGAAACAGTGCATCAATAAAAATTGTATATATTTTTAAACACGTATATTTTAAACATGTAAATCACACAATCTATTTAGCATACTTGATAGTTGTAATGAAGAAAATCGAGATTATTTAGGAATACCGAACCGCAGATGCATCGGTAGGCACTGGCACACGGGGTCCGTTGCCCCATTCTATTTGACGGTGCTCCAAATCCATAGTTGGCGTCTTGAAAAATCATAATGGAAAACCATGATAGATATCATACTGAAACGCCGAAAATTCCAGCGCCTATGATGTAAGCACCTGACGACACCTCTGCCGAATCGAATTCTAAAAACGGTCATCTCTCTCTAGTAAGGCTTACCGTTGAATTTGGGGAACATAATGTAAGTCATGGACAAAGAAAGTAAGATTACGTTTAGTATTAATAATGTTGTTTAATATGTAATATTGAAATGGTCTTGCATTGAATGTCCATTAAATAGGAAAACGCATAGAAAATTTGTCAGTGATAACTAAATTGAAAAAGTTATAATCTTAGCACTAACTTAATCATATATGACAACACAGAAGAACGGAACGAAAAACACAAAAGTCGATGAGATAATATCAAGAAAAACTTTTTTAAAGTCGTCCTTACTTATTTCTAATGAAAAAACAAAATTAAAAAAAATACTTTCATTAAAAAACTGGCCTGCAATTTGCATCCAGTTTGCTTTACTTATTGTTCATTAAGTCTAATAACGACTCCTAACAAGGACTGAAAACTGGGTTTATATTTAAAAAAAGATGCAAGACATTAACATGGTTTTAAACCCGTTTTTTATCAAAAGACATCTTATTATTTTTTTAATTAAACCGTTTGTTTATCAAATTATAATGCTGTTGCATATAGATACAAGTCTAGACATATCAAAACCTAAACAGTTGTTGTTTTCTGACAGGTTCGTATCTGACTGGTCTAAATTAAATGTGAGTTAAACAAAGAACAGGCAATATTTTTAAGATATCTGAAAACTATTTCACAAAACTTAACGATATTTATTGTGGTTCTTATGACACTTATATTCTATTATATCCTTCCGGTCTATACTTTGGTCTGTGAGAATCTAAAGCTATTTTTCCAACGTCAGCTATTTTTGTTCATATTTCGTACACCTTTAGTGAAATATTTATTTAAAAAATTCCAAGAACTGTTAAACGTTTATCTCGTATTGCCAACAAAAGCTCGTGCAATTGTGGAGTTCTTCTTTGTGCTCTTCAGACCAATCACGGTAGATAGTGGTATTGTTTTCTGGAAAATATTCCACATCTTGATGATAAAAATGAAGGAAGAGAGTGAACATTATCTTTAAAGATGCTTAAATACTTGAGGGATGTAAAACTGACCATTCAGAGAGACCAAAGAACATATTTAGTGTCATGAAAATGCAACCCACATTATTACTCCACTTCCAGAAGCTTGTTTGTAATCAAGCACAAAGATACACAATGGGCTATCTGTGCTCTGCCCCCACGGGTATCGAAACCCGGATTC